GACAACATTAGTGATTGCTCATAGATTAAGCACAGTTCAGAATGCTCACCAAATTGCGGTTTGCTCTGATGGAAGGATTGTTGAACTGGGTACCCATTTTGATTTACTAGCTATGAAAGGTCTGTACGCTTCACTTGTTGGCACTCAAAGACTTGCTTTTGAATGATTTGAATTTGATAGTCATCCTTACTCAAAGACTTACTTACTGCTGAATAGCGACAACATCAAGTTGGCATTAATGTTAGGATAGAATAAAAAAGTTAGAACAAGTCAAAAAATTGTAAAATGAAGCTTTTTGAATTTCGAAATTCCTAAAAAAGAAGATATTGTAGTCACTAATTTTTATGATTTAAGGTTTAGAATTTGTCGCAGAACAAAGTAAGAATTGCATTATTCAGAACTGTAGCATAAAATCCCTAGATAAAAATCAAATGCTTAAAATAAAAATAAGAAAAATACATCCACAACAAATAGAAGTAAGAAATATAAGTATTCTACGAAACTTCTCAAAGGCATAGAAGCAACTTACTCTGCGAGGAGCCAATTCCTTTTTGGTTACAGTATGGCCTTTGTTCAATCCAACACATAGGCCAGTATTTGGCTGTTTTGAAAAGATTATCTGTTTCAACATTACCAAAAAGGACAGCAAGTTCGATAAATAGAAAGCTAGTTCAAATTGTTAAAACGAATTCCTCCATTTTTATTGTATGTTATTAGTCAAATTAGTAGGCAAGGAAGCAGGAGTTCCAATTCATTTGCGATCTGCAACGTGCAACACCTTGAGAAAAACCCTTTGGGCACCAGTTCAGAGATGACCAAGTCTCTGGACTTGAGTACGTCATTTCGACAAGACCAAGTCCTGAGATTCCATTTTAAGTTTCCTAAATTTAAAACCCGTATAAAATTAAAAATTTATTTTTGCACATGCAAGCATAAAATAAGTAAATCGAGATGCACCTAGGTTGATAACAATTTTTTTCCATGCTTGTCATTTATAATTCATTTAATTTTCCAATATTTTTGTAACCAAAATGTTATATCTGATTTTCCACCTGGGTTCAAGATAATAACTAAGATATTTACATAGCTGACCGATCAATAAGGCAAAAATTGAAAGAATTAATAGAATAAAAGTAAAGGGGAGGATGTTTGGAATAGCTTTGAGAAAATGTGCATAAAGGAGTAGGGTGTTTAAAAGATAAAAATTTTAAAAAGAGACTATTAAACATTTGGATAAAGTGTTAATTACAAAAATAAGGAGTTAGTTCTCAAAAACACTTGATAAAATAAAATATTTGTTAGATGTCATACAACAAATATTCTTAAAAAAAATGTTATCTAACAAGTATTTTATAGCAGGTTGAATTTAATATGATATGATATTGTGTTTTATATTGATAAAATTTTTTATTCATTTCATATATTTTTAAAATAATATCTCATAAACACAAGTTGTTGAATTTATATCAATTTATATTATGCATTTTTAATTATAAGGAGGTATACCATAACTGTTATATTATGACTAAATTAACATATAATTAAAAGTATCTCGGTTCCAACATTATATATAAATTTTTAAAAATGATAATAAAATTGAAAAAGTACAATTTAATATATAAACCCTCTTTTGAACAACAAGCGCAGTGCGAGAGAGAGATGTACAATAACTAATGTTCGTGATATATCATCAATTTGTATGTCTACAAAAATGAGTGCCAGAAGCACATTTCTTGGCTTCCACTCTCAAAAAATAGTCCCGAGCAATGAAATGATTTGTAGACACGTACAAGATGGACTACGTCAATCGCATTGTCACATCTGGCGTGCCTGCCACAGTAGAGGACCGTGCTGGGGCAGCCACATCTGCATCTACCTCTGCCGCCACTGTGGTTGAGTGTGTACAGAATTTCATTATTGCAGAGGATTATTTGAAACTGAATATGGTGGCTGTTGACGAAGTGCACCATTTATTATCAAATATTCAATTACTTTCTTTTTAGTTTTCCAATAAAAACTAGTTCAAGTATTGAATAATTATTATCCTGCTTGTTGCCATTTTTTCTCTTGTCGTTGGATTTCGAAAAAGAAATGTTGTATATGTGTGTGTGTGTATATATATATATATGGAAAACCCTTTTTGAAGCTACCCACTAACCAGAGTAAGTAAAAGAACACAACGGGCAAAACTCTTAACCTTTACGCTGACAGATGACGGGACGTATTCATCTGACAATTTCTCCTGCACCCAGCTTGGGGAAGAGGAAGAGCTGACACGAAAAAAAAAGAAAAAAGAAAAGCCTTTCTTTTCTCTTATTCGTTCCCCTCCAAAATCGTGCCATTTTCCACTTGATTTTGGCTCCATTTTATAGCTGAAATCATTCACCAACATTTCTCTGCTCACTGCCTCCTCCAAAAGATTCTGAAAATCTTCTCTTTCACTTTCTCTTGTCTTCAATAATCTTCCACCATTAAATCCTTCATTTGTAACACGTAATGATGCCAATCCTTTTTCTCGACATTCTTCGCTTTCCTCATCTTGGTTCCTTGGAAACTTCCATTTAAAGGGTTTTGTTTTTATTTGTCTTCTTTTTTTTTTTTACTCTCAGTGATCCTTTTTTGTTTTATTATATATTTTGACTTAGCATTAATTTTTTTCAAAATTTCTTTTTGTGTTGTTGGGTTGTTAAAAGGGATTAGATTTGATGGGTCAATGGCGGACATGGGTGAAGCGGGGAAGATGGAGAACGGTGAGATGGTTGTGAAGACAAGCTTTACGCGTACCGTGGGTTGGGAGCATCAAGGAAGCTTTGGAGGAGTTGAAGCTCAATCCTCTCCATCTTCTCATGGGATGATAAGATTTCGGGTGCACCTCATTATGCATATAGAGTTGACTGTTGACGGTAAAATATGTGGTTTTTCTTTATCATTAATTCTTCTTGATTTGATATCCGTATCTTATTGATTTGTTTTCTAATGTTTTTGCGTGGTTGAAGGATAAAGATCATCGGGCATCACACTTCCAAATCTCTGCCAATTGTGAGTATTTATAATCCTTTAATTTTCAGTTTTAGATTGTATTTATTTCTTATTTGATCATTTTTACATGGTATTGTAGAATTATATTGCACATGCTTAAATTTCGTGAAAGTGGAGGCAGATATGGTTCTTTAGATCTAATAGAAAGAACTGAAAAAACTGATTGTAATTTCTTATCATAGAAAATCTAAGAAATTTAGAAACAAATAAATCAAATAAAAAGAAACAAAAAAAGAAAATAACTATCAATTTAGAAATAATACAAAAAAATAGAAAGAAAGAAAAAAAAATGAACTATCAATTTAGAAATTAATCCCAGAAAAAAAATTTACTATCAAATATGAAAAAAGAAGCCCATATAAAGCAATTTAGAAATAATTAATTTAGTAAGAAATAATAAATAATTTAGTAAATTGAATCCAGAAACAAAAAAATCAATCAAAAGAAACAAAAAGAGTTAAACAGAAATTAATTTAGAAATAAGCCCACATAAAGAAGTCTAGAAATAAAAAATAATTTAGTAAATTGCATCCAGAAACAAGAAATCATCCAAATTAATTTAGAAAGAAACAAAAAAAAAATGTATTATCAAATTAGAAATAATATGAGAAAAAAATTGATTATCAAATATGAAATAATAACTAGAAATAATAAATAATTTTGTAAGAAATAATAATCTAGAAAAAAGAAGCCCATATTAATTTCAGGGTTGAGGGTGCAGGTGCACACCTATAGACTGTTAATTTTTCTTTTTCTTTTTTGTAAAATATCTCCTTTTTGCTGCGTATATGTGATTGTAGTTTTAATTTATTTAAAACAATCATGTATTAGACGAGCCGAAGATGTGGAGAAACATAATCATCATATTTTATTTTAATCTCTTACTTTTTATTTTTAAGTTATTTAATTTAAGACATAAAATTATATTTTTGGTTAATTAATAAATTATTTAGTACTTTACATGGCTAGTTTAAGGAGTAAAGTAATTTGCATGTATTATTTCAATGTAGTCGGCTATCTATGATATGTTGATACTTAATCCTATGAAACTTTTATAAGGAAATTTAAGTTGACTATTAGCAGGATGATGGCAGTGAAATCAATTGCTCTCTTGTTGATTTATTTGGTCCTCACCTTATAATTATTATTATTGATTTGTTTTTCATTACTTTTGCGTTGCTCTAGGAGAATGGTTGTCTCCCCTATTGTTGCTTGTAGAGGATCATCGGGCACAGCAGTTTCAAATCTCTTGCCATTGTGAGTGTTTTATAATTTTTTATTTTTCAGTTTTTGAATATTATAAAAAATCTTGTATTTATTTGTTATTTTATCATTTTTACATCATAATCTAAAATTATAATACACATGCTTAAATTTGTTAAAATTCTTCTAGATATCTTGTTAATTTTGTGAACGTGGAAGTAGATATGGTTTGGGGGTCGGGGTTTAGGAACTACTTTGCCTCATAAATATTTTTTTTAGTACCTCGATAATGTTTTCTGCCTCATCAAGCTGCTCCTGCCTTATTTTATAGAAGGAATTCAGTATCTTTCAGTTGTTCCTCAACTGATTTTGCTGTTTCCTTCAAAATCAGAACTTCAGAAATTATAGTAGCATGTTGGGCATTGCTGCTCTCAAGTTCTTTATTTCTTCTTCCAAGTATAACATCTTTGGCATTTAGCTCTTCAAGTTTAGATTTGAGTTGAACTTCTCGTTGCATTGAACCATATAAATTAAATTGAGCAATATGAAGCCAGCCAAGTAGTTCCTTGAAATACCCATCAGCACCTCTGCATCATTTTCTGCCTATAAAAACCTTAGGACTTGTAGACACGAGAGAGATTGAATTTTTAAAGAAAAAAGATAGTGGAAAAAAGAGAGTATAACGGTCCAATTCATAATTTGATTTTATGCAAGTGAAAATGAACCAGATTTGAAGTATAACATCATTATTACATCAGCAATTACAAATTATTTAATTTATTAGAGTGTCATGAGATAATTGACTAAAAACAAATTCTAGTTAGAACCTTTAAAAAACCTCACACTCTCTTCTTTCAAAATATACAGAACCTTGCAGAGAAGATAGAAAGTGAAAAGAGAAGCAGATTAGAAATATATCAACCGAAAGAAGAAGAAGATTCATAAGCGTAGAAATGGGTATCTTCATTCTCTTCTCCATTTTATTTTTTCTTTCAGTTTATAGAGAGAGAGAGAGAACCTAGAAATGGGTTCTAATCCCCTCAGAAAAGGAACCCCTTGGTTCTCGTATCAACGTTATTTTCTTTTGCAATATTATTAAAACCTGCAAGCCCTGTAGAGTGTCAACCCATAAACTAGTTATATTTATCATTGATATATTAAATTTTTAGTTATTTAATAAGTTGATGATGAAAACATTGAGTAAAGTGAGGAATGTACTATATAGATAGTGCATGCAATTATTTCCTTGAGTGTCTTTTATCACCAAGTACCCAGATAATTGAAGAAAC